TAGTGAGACACTATCTCACACAAAAAATAAAAATTAAGAATTGGAAATTTGAATTAAATAATTTTGAAAATTCTGAAAGAAAAGATCGATCCAGAAGGAAATTCAAATCTGTAATTTTCACAATGCTGACAGGTAATTACTTGTCAAAGTAAGCCATTAAGGATTTATTAAAAATTTATACAGTATAATGTAATATAATTTGTCATTTAAACAACCAAGAAGAACACAATTTATCAACAGTTACACAGATTAAAAACTAAAAATGAGTGCAACTCAAATTATTAAGAAAGAAGCTCACAGCTTCTTTCTTAATAATTTGGTGTTCTCTATCGTAATAATGAATATTATGGTGTAGGACAAAGCCCAATGCCCAGCCTACAATTGAGTATTCATTATTATTGTAGGAAACGAGATTATTTTGAAAAAGCCTGTAGACAAAGCAAAGACAAAAATAGGCAAATAAAATATATGAAAAAATACAAGTGGTGAAAAGAGTACAAAGAGTGATAACATGAAAACTGTAATTCTTCGAATAAAACAAAAAACAAGACTTTTGGACAATTATACAATGATACTAAAGGGTTAATTAAAAATAAAAATAGCTAAAGATGCCAATTGCAATATAATGAGTTAAAAACAAACATGTTAAAATAATTACAAGATAAAGGTTTCTGATATGTCATGCCTGGAAATATTTTGGGTGCATACAACCAAGACAATCAAAGATAGCATGTGAAATAAAAGACAAGAGCACACAGTAAGTGAAATGAAAAGTACAAAATGCTATTAGGTTGACTGACTTGAGAATCAACAAGATTGATTTTAAAAAAATGTTTAGTGTATCACAGGAAGAAAAACAAAATAATAGAGGAATACAAAAACTGTTTCAAAGTCCTACAAACTTTCGGTTTTCCACACCATGTTGAAAAAAACCAATGAAGTATAAGAAAAAGCCTATACTTCATTGTATTAGAGACAATGTAAAAGAAAAGCTAGACAGAATGGAAAAAATTAGGCATTATAGCTAAAGTTGACAGATTCACAACATGGTACAGAGTAATGGTTGCAATATGTAAACCAGATAAATCTACATACCCTGCATAGATTGAGGAAAAAAAAACATAATAAGACTAATATTTCTGATAATAACAATATACAAAACAGCTGCACAAATGCCAAATATTTTTGAACAAAAGATAAAAGTAGTTTTTGGCAGGTAGCACTGGATAATAAATCATTATATTTAATGACTTTTACTGCACCATTTGGCAGATACCATACAATGAGAATGACATATGGATCACTGTACTCAGCAGAAGTTTTCTAAAAAGATCTTCAGAATTTCCACAAAAGACATATGCTTGTAGTAGTAATGGATGATTTCTTATGTAGGAAATCTCATGTAAAGAACATGATTGGTAACATTCTTTGAGAAAGTTTGTGAAACAAGTTTAAAATTCAATGGCAAAATGATCAAATTTGCAGTCACAGAATTAAAATACTGCAGACACATACTGGCTGACAAAGGTCTAAAAGCAGATCCATCTAAAATAGAAAATATAATAAAAATGCCAAAGCCAAGAACCCACACTGAGATAAGACATCTGATGACAATAGAATTGTATTTACATAAATTCATTCCAAGTGATCAAAATTAACTGAATTATTAAAGAAATATCTGGAAATTCTTAAAAGTACACTATGTCACCAGCCAAAGAAAAACTGTTAAAATAAGTTTTAATAAAACCACAAATATTATTAGATTTTGATAAAAGAAGACCAATTCTGTTGTCTATAGATGCAACTTCAACAGTATAGTGCTCTATTAAGCAAGATAATCATCCAGTTGCATATGCCTTGAGGATACTCATTTGAACACAACAAAATATTCACAAATATCCAACTCAGATATTTTTTAAAAGAAAATAAAAATATCCATTAGAGATCATTTTATCAAAGTCATTAGTGGATACATGGGCATGATTTCATTGTATGGCATTACAACTGCAAAGGTATGATATTGAATTTCACTGTACTTCTAGCAAAAGATTAGTAATTGTAGATTTACTTAGTTGTTTACATATAAACATTTCTAAAGAATTGGACATTTCATTCCAGATACATTTAGCATTAAACACAACTAATGAAAAATAAGAATGATTGCCAATGCAATTAAAAAAGATAAAAATCTGGCTCTTTTAAAAGATATATGGTAATTAAAAATGCTTGGCATAAAAAACGAAAACAGAAGCTTGTAAAGCAGTTGTTTTATCTATGCCTTTTACAGCAAAAATAGAAGGAATCTACAAATGAAATACATCCAAGAGGTTCAATACAGAATAAAATAAGCACAATGAACTCAGCCATCAACCTGAGGAAATTAAAGAATCTATGAAACATAGAACACTAAGTAAGTATATATATATTTTTTTTTTGGAAGGAATATGACATTTAATGCATTCTTGATATAAACTGTAAATCAGTAAATAAAGATGACAAACAACATTATGTTTTAACTTTGCCTCCACTCAGGCCTAAACAAAATTTTTGTCGATTATTGTGTTATCACGTCAACGATCAGTTACTTGTTCCACAATGAGGCTTGTGTGTAGGATTGGGTTTAGATTGCACCTTGTTTCAAAAACTGGTCTATGTCTTTTGAATCTGAGTTACATAATGAACTTTGGTAAAATAAACACACTAATGTAAACTTCTATTTTAATAACCATTTAATTTTGCTGTAGAGACACTTAATATTAATTATCCTACTGATTCATTTTATGAATCAGCTTTAATTACAATTTAATTATTTTTAATTGATGTATGTTATCTGTAGAATCATGAGATGACCACAAGATAAAAAGAAAAATTTATGTTTCCTAAAGGACACAAAATGTGAAATTTATAGTGTATGAATTAGATCATATAATAAATTATTTTGTAAAGTTTCCTAATTAATGATAAATATAGCAGAACTTAAAAATTGAAATTTTTCATTTAGCTTAATTTTAAGCATTTTATAATAAAAAAACGATAATTATTATAAAATATTCAGTTACAATTACCTTTGAAACATCCACACCAGTCAAAGCATGAACAGCTGGAGGTAACTGACTGACTAATTTAGTTACTCCACAAGTTAACTGATCATCACAGCTATTCAAAACAATCTCATCAGTTTTAGATAAAGGAGCTGCCACTTCAGCTGCAATCTAAAACATAATTGTTTTAAATTACAATAAAAACTGAATAGAAATTTATAATTTTAGAATCTTACTTTTGGAAGAGCCTCCAAGACAAGACTCATCACTGCAGCTTCTCCATACTGTTTGTAAGCTGCAGCTTTCATTCTCATTCTTTCGGCTTCGGCTTTTCCGACTGCTTCAATGGCATAGGCATCGGCACCTCCCAGCATCTTTATGCGTTCAGCTTCTGCTTTAGCTACCTCAACTGTTTGAGTCCTGAGAAGAAAGTGCTTAGATAAATATTTTAAACTATTTTAAAAGTAATTTAATAATTTAATAACTTTACCTTTTTCCATGGGCTATCATTTCAACTTTATAAGCTTCTGCTTCTGCAGGTAAACGAATAGTTGCAGTTAATTCTTTTTCTTTTCTCAGAATCTCTTTCTCTTCGATTCCAATCTGTTTTCTCCTCTCCACCACATCTATTTCAATTTCTTCATTTCTAATTTTTTGTTTCATTTTTGCAGATTGCAATTCATAAGCCAACTGTGCTTCCGCTTTCTTATTTAAATAAACAATTTAATTAACTAACAGGAAATATTTTAAATTTAAAATTGTTAATCATATAAAAATAAAATGCAAATATTCATCTGATTATTTAAATCTATTAGGTTGTTCAGAAAGTAAGTTTGTTTTTTTTACCACTAGTTCTGGATGGCCAGTTGAAGCCAACGAAAACAAAATAAAGGTACTGATTGAAGCAAACTGCCAAATAACAACACGTAAAATCACTAAGAGATTAAATTTGTCAAATTGAACCGTATATGATTACTTGAAACAAATTGATTTCGTTTCAAAGCTCGATATATGGGTTCCACATATTCTTAAGGAGAAATGCTCTCTTCGGTGGGATTTTAAGGAAATTTTTTTCTGGAGCTTTACTAGACAATTTAACAACTGACTCGAAAGAGTACTGCCATCGAGTAAACAAATTGAGTAATATCATCAAACAGAAAAAGCGGCCAGAACGGATCAACAAAACAGGTGTAGTGTTTTACCACGATAATGTCAAATTTCACACAAGTTTGGTAACTCGTCAGAAACTGTTATAACTTAGATGGGACGTGCTATTGCACCAACCATATTTGCCAGATCGAGCACACTCCGATTATTACTTGTTCCGGTCTATACAAATTTTTTTTAACTGTAAGACATTTACTTGAAATGACAATTCAAAAATCATTTGGATCAGTTTTTTGTAAGCAATGATAAAAGCTTTTATGAATGTTGAAATCATGCTACTACCAGAAACGATGACAATATTTGACCAAAATTGTCGATAAATAATTCAACAAAATATTTATTTATTATAAAAATATTGTGTTTTTTTTCATGGAAAAAAAAATAAGCTTACTTTCCAAACAACCTAATACTTTATGTTTTACTGGTATTTATTTTATTTATAAATTTCTTTTATATGTATGTTTTCAAATATGCAACTTATACATTAGTCTTTATGAATATAGTATCAATAATGTTTCTCTCTTGTGTTTTACATTTATATTCTTTTTCTTATTAACTTTAGTTTTAAAAATTATAATATTAAAATAATATAAAAATGCTAAAAATGTGAAATGGTTTGACTCTGAACAAAACAAACTTAAATAAGTTATAATTTATCAAACATTATTTTTCAAATGTTTCTAAACTTTAAATTCATGTCTATAAAACAGTTTAACAATTGTAACAAGTTAAACTCCAGCTTTATTTGCATATTATAAAATGGTGTAATTTAAAATTTAACAATATAAATTTCACTTCATATTACACAAATAAATCCAGCTTTGTAATTTGTTAAAACTGATATATCAACTATTAAATTGCTCTTTAGATATCCAAATTTAGAATTTTAATCATTTAAAGATGAAATATCTATCTCAAAGTGTTAATGTCAAATAAGACTTCTTAATCTATTAAAATTTATTTTGTTTGTTACTTAAATACATATTAATATCTAAAAATTAATTTCATAATTTTTATTAAAACTCTTCATTTGTACTCTCTACTACTTAGCAATTTGAGAAAAATCTAAAAATTAAATAAGTTGCTAAAATAATTATCATCTTTTAAATCTCAAATAATAAAGACTTGAATTCATCACACAATATGATTCTAAAGACATTGTTATACTTAGTCCACCCTAACGTATTTAAATTTAATAAACAAAAACAAATTAATTTTAAAATAATTGTTTAAAGAAAAAGAAAAATATTTACAGTATGTATTTTAATACCAAGATTTCTTTAAAATTCTTTTATATTGTTAAAATACATTATATTGTAAGATACATGCATATTTGTACTTCAAAATTCATTTTAACTATTATAAACATTGATTCAATATCCAAACGTTTTCTATAAATAACTAAAATTAACTAATCCTGAGACAAACAAATATTCAGCATCTAACAAATCATAGGGTATATCCTCTACTAAAAGATTATTATAATAAGATAATTTTATAAGATAACTTTCTGTAGAAAATATGATTTAAAATAATCAACATAAACACATTTAATACATCAATTAAATGTATAATCTTTTAAGAAATATTCACAATTTTTGCAAATTAATATAATTTGTATTTTTATACGAATAGGAGAAAGTAAATGTGAAAAGTTATCTTTGTGTTTTCATTCTTTATAATAAAAAAATTTGAAACTAAATAAATTGTTTCAGTGATAGATTTAATTACAAAGTTTTATTTGTAACAGATATATAGATAAAATATAGATACAGTAGAGTCCCAAAAACTTGGCCTAATGTGGACCGAAGGGTGGCCAAGTTTGTGAAAATGTCAGGTATCGGCAATGGGGTTAAAAAAGAATAAGTACGAGTGTTTCCTCAGAAAATATTGTACTGTACTTGTATGTATTGTTTGCTTGAGAATACAACAGAGAATAAACTGCCCAAATACCCTTAAACAAAGGAAAAGTACATACTTTATGAAGGCATAGACCCTTTACTACATAAAAATGAAAATTAATGAATACACAGTGTACCTGATTTTTACCTGATTAATCTGATTAATTTACCTGATAAGACAGACCCCAGAAAAATACTTTATGAGGCATAAAGCTGTCTATAATGAAAATTAACTAGGGGTTTTTTGCCCTGCCAGGATGTGGCCGAGTTATCTGGACTGCCAGGTTATTGAGTGCCGAGTTTTCAGGACTATAATGTATTAAAGGAACAAAAAGCATAAATCATAATTTAAAAGTCTATGCAAAACATAGACCAATTAACACTTATGATTTATGTGCACATATCTTATGAGTTATATTGTATTTGTTATAAATGGAAGAAAAATTCATATGTTCATTCAATTAAATGGTTTTTTTGCATATCCTGTAACTTAAAAGTAACTAAATGAATCTTTTGCTTATTTATGGGAATTTTTGAATCACTCAGTAGTTTGGTTGTCTGTGAATACATATAAAAATCAAACTCTATCTTATTTTTAGCCACTGTGTGCTACAGATATTTAGCCATCTCTATCAATGCTGATCATAAGTAAATCATAGCCCTAACACATATTACTTTTAAACATTGACAACCATAGCCCGTTATATAATAAATATGCCAAACGATATGCCAAATTCTTGGGCTATATAAATGCTGTAATTAAATATTAGAAATTAATTAATTTGACTAGAGGTAAGCAGTTATGCTGCCATCTCATATTAAATTTAATGACCAATTCCAAATTAAATTTTAGAAATGTCTAAATTAAAACTTAATTATTTATAATTATTAAATTTAATACAAGATGTCAGCATAACTGCCTATCTCTAGTCAAATTAATTAATTTTTAATAGAGAGGTTATTGCTGAAGTTTTCATCTCTAAAATATGAATGTCGGACATTCAGCGCAGCCTTCCTGCAAGTCTAGAAGTTTGACAATGGCATTTGGAACATCATTGAAATCATGCTCGACATTCCAAATGCCATTGTAAAACTTCTAGGCTTACAAAATAGTGGCTCTCAACATTCGACTTCATGTTTTAGAGATGAAAACTTTGGCCGCAACCTCTAATATTTAATTATAGCCTTTACATACACCAAGAATTTGGCATATCTTTTGGCATGTTTATCAGACATATTATTTGTCATTTTTTTTGGTTTTTTGCGAATCGAATTTTCATTTCAGGTTGATTCATTCCATGCTAGAAGAAAAGAGGAAGCTGATTCTGATTCATGCTCCTTAACAACTTATATTGTATAGTTTTCTTTGAATAAATGTTATACATAAAATATTTGAGTATTTTTTTCAGCATGGAATGTATTATCGTATTTTACATTAATTTATATGGGAAAAACATTTCACTTAATGAGTGTTTTACATTACAAGTAAGATTCTGGAATGAATTATGCTTGTTAAGTGAGGTTCCACTGTACTATAAAATTGGCCAGGATAAAAATAATTTTTTCCTTAGTTCCAGACAAATTTCCAAATTTTTTTAAGTTAACAAAGTAATCTACTAAACAAGACAACAAAATCTGAAAATTTTTCTGCAGAATAAATACTAGTTTATATATCAGGATTTGAAATATTGTATATATTTGTGTGTATATAGGGTGGTCCTAACTCTGCAATTTTATACTTCAACTAGCTGTTACCTGCGACTTCACCCACGCAGATTTTGCAAGCAAACCCCATTTATATTCAGTATTTCAACAACCATAGTAATTGTTATATAANTAGAGAGGTTATTGCTGAAGTTTTCATCTCTAAAATATGAATGTCGGACATTCAGCGCAGCCTTCCTGCAAGTCTAGAAGTTTGACAATGGCATTTGGAACATCATTGAAATCATGCTCGACATTCCAAATGCCATTGTAAAACTTCTAGGCTTACAAAATAGTGGCTCTCAACATTCGACTTCATGTTTTAGAGATGAAAACTTTGGCCACAACCTCTAATATTTAATTATAGCCTTTACATACACCAAGAATTTGGCATATCTTTTGGCATGTTTATCAGACATATTATTTGTCATTTTTTTTGGTTTTTTGCGAATCGAATTTGCATTTCAGGTTGATTCATTCCATGCTAGAAGAAAAGAGGAAGCTGATTCTGATTCATGCTCCTTAACAACTTATATTGTATAGTTTTCTTTGAATAAATGTTATACATAAAATATTTGAGTATTTTTTTCAGCATGGAATGTATTATCGTATTTTACATTAATTTATATGGGAAAAACATTTCACTTAATGAGTGTTTTACATTACAAGTAAGATTCTGGAATGAATTATGCTTGTTAAGTGAGGTTCCACTGTACTATAAAATTGGCCAGGATAAAAATAATTTTTTCCTTAGTTCCAGACAAATTTCCAAATTTTTTTAAGTTAACAAAGTAATCTACTAAACAAGACAACAAAATCTGAAAATTTTTCTGCAAAATAAATACTAGTTTATATATCAGGATTTGAAATATTGTATATATTTGTGTGTATATAGGGTGGTCCTAACTCTGCAATTTTATACTTCAACTAGCT